TTCTCCATCCCAGCCACAGATTCCCCTACTGGGGTGGACTGACCAGACAACATCCTTTTATGGTGGCTAAACCAGCTAAATTTAGAGGAGCAGTAGCTCTACTTTCCCATCATTCCTGGACTGTCGAACTCCTCATTGCATCACAGAGAGTAAGCCCAACAACCCTGTGGAGGAACCTCATTTCCCCTATCTGAACTTGTGACCTTATTCTTTCGGTCAGTACCCACAGCTCGTGACCATAGGTGAGGATAAAGCTGAAGTGAAGAGGTGAAGCTCCTGCTTCACCACCACAGACTGGTACAGTAACACTGCTGCTGCTAACATGATCCATTTGTCAATTTTACGCTCAAGGCTGTAGGGATGGCTATGGTGACCAGGACAAAATCTGCCTTCACACTGTAGCCGTCGAAGCCAAAGTGACTAAGCAACAACTATGACAGAACTGAATTTTTTTTTACAGTCATTTAAGAGAGAATGAACTTCTTGGGACAGACCAGCAACTGATTATCCACAAGACCTGAAACTCCAAAAAAGGCTGGGGGTCAGCAGCAGTTTGTATCCCTTAACATTAAGATCCATCTTGTAGAACCTACTTTTCTAAGATTATACCTATTTAGTAGAAACTTGCATAATTAATGCATAAATACTTGTTATAAATGTTGTTTGTTAGAAGTGAAAGGAAATTGTCATTCATGTACTAAATTAGCTGGCACTAAATGAGCACTGTCAACCATTACTCTGCTTGTGTGTTTGTGCGCTGAATCTGTTTGCACTGAATTTATGCAAATGCTTTCTTTAATAAAATTACAGGAAAAACATAGTACTAGAGGAAATATTTATGTGACGCTTCATACACCAGGGGTCGTATCAGACTGTTTTCTCATCATGATGAATTTGAAAATCATCCAATGAACAAAGCAGAAGTGGATTCCTTCAAACAACTGTGGGAAGAGCAAATATACAACAAACCATATAACTATACAGTACACACACATATATATATATATATACATCAAAGTCCACGCACCCACAGATAGATAGATACATAGATGTGTGTGTGTTGACTTTGATTGAGGACCACAGGGAGAGCACTACACTGGTTAATTGTTTGGGTAACCTACACTCTATGGCCAAAAGTATGTGAACACCTGACCGTCACACCCATATGTGGTTCTTCCCCAAACTGTTTCCACAAAGATGGAACCACACAGTTGTATAAAATGTCTTTGTATGCTGTAGCATTACAGTTTCCCTTCACTGGAACTAAGAGGCTCAAACCTGTTCCAGCATGACAATGCCCCTGTGCACAAAGCGAGCTCCATGAAGACATGGTGTGTGAAGGTTGGAGTGGAAGAACTCGAGTGTCCTGCACAGAGCCCTGACCTCAACCCCACTGAACACCTTCGGGATGAATTTGAGCGCTCACTGCGAACGCTGACATCAGTGTCTGATCTCACTAATGCTCCTGTGGCTGAAGGAGCACAAAATCCCCACATCCTCGCGCATTCTGAAATCTAGTAGAAAGCCTTCCTAGGAGACTGGAGGTTATTATAAGCGCAAAGGGGGAATAAATCTGTATGGTTTTGGAATGGGCACATGTGGGTGTGATGGTCAGGTGTCCACATACTTTTGGTCATATAGTGTAGTTGTTGCCAGTAAGTTAAGCACAATAAAGCACAGTGTTGAGAAAATGTGCGGGTTAAACGTATAATTACGCACGCACACGTCTGATCTGGCCTGAGCGCAGAACTGACGTCCCCACAGCAACAGACCAAATCATGCCAAGTCTGGCTGCACTTCCCTTGACCATATATGGATCCGCGGCGACTTGGTGAGAGTGGGAAGAGACAAAGCTGCCTCGGGGAATGAAGCGTTTTTCATCGAATAAAGGCAAATTAAGGCTTTTGCTTCGCTGAGCGTCTCGTCTCTCCAACACCCCAGCCCAGCCCAGCCCAGCCCACCTCCCCGCATCTCCCCAGCATCATCATCTTAAAGCAGCGTCGCCAGCTAGTGGCGCACATTTTCCATGCGCGTAGAAAAGTGCGAGGCGCGCACATCAGCACCGCACAGCACCGCATGAGCCGCGCACAGGTGAGCGCCTTTTCCCTCATTCCGCATCTCACAGCAGCTGCTGCCAGCTCTCACTCATTCACTCCGACTCAGATCAGCTCCAAGAAGTTTGAGTCGTGCGTTATTATAACTGGTGTTGGATTAAGCTGATTTTTTTTTTTTTTTTTTTTTTTCAGTTCAAACTGATCTTTCTCCTCACACTGTTTACAGATGTGCGCTGCGTCTTACTGTGAATTGCGTCCTGTTCCTCTCTGCCTTACTGTCCATCGCGTACATTTAACATCTTTAGATATCCCTGTATTGTTTTGTTGTTCTGGCTGTGGTGTGCACTGGATTTTCATTTCCATTGCATCACCTGTAGCTGGGTTCCAGCAGATGTTTAGTGCAGGAGGACAGCTGGCCAAGGGCGAGGTTTACTTCTTATCTTAGCGGTATTTAAGCAAACCATGCTGGCGTTTGTCTTTGCAGTAGTCTAATAATGGTTTACACTAAGAACAGGGTTTTTTGGGTTTTTTTTTTTTTGCAAGTTTGTATCATTGTTGGGTTTTTATGTTGTGCAAAAAAACCAAAACAAAACCAAGAATGCTGAGCTATACGCAGCAGTGGTGATGACCACCAGAAAAATCTTTGTTAACCTGTTGCTCTATTTCTGACAATTAAAAAGTAAATAAACAACATCGAAATAAAACCACTGAATGTCAGAACATCAAGTGAGTGCCATAAAAATGTAAAAAAAAAAAAAAAAAAAAAAAAAAAAAAAAAAAAAGAAAAAATCATACATGTATCACTGTTCATTTTTAGTCCATAATTTAAATAAACACACAAAATATTCTGTTTCTAGAAAAGGAAAGGAACAAAACTACAGAACAAACATGAAAAAAAACCATATCAAAGCTTAAATGAAGGTTAAAAAACACTTTCTTGTGATTTTTTTGTTTTGTTTTGTGTCTTTGTTGTTGAAGTAAGATGGAGTTCTGCCCTTTTTTCTTTCCAAATGTCCATCAGACTGTCAAGCGGCTTGCTTATAGATAAATAACTGAAATGACAAGTGGCTAAAAGATCATTCATATCATTGGATGAATAACAGTACACAAAACAACATGACCATTGTGCTCTAAAGGTTTGTTTCTAACATTAAGCCTACAGTCAGTTCCAAAAGAATTGGCAGCCTTCAGGATATGATTGTAAAATGATCTTATACAATGAACATTACTCACAATTATTCCAAAAAAGAGAAAGAAATCCAATCAATTTACTTCTACATCTTTAATTTTTTTTTCCAATTTCTAGAAACTTCATTGCTCTATAGTTACCTTCAACTCTTTCCCTAGGATATAATATAAGGTTGCATACAGTACATTAAAACAGTCTTTTGCCATCCATCATAATGATGCAAACAAAAGAGTTTTCAGCTATAAAGAGACAGATTAGTTGTCGACCTGCACAAAGTAAAGTAATGGATATAAAAAGTCCACAAGCACATCGATATTAAAATATTATTAATCACAAAGTCTTACAACTGTGTGACTTGAAAACTTTCCAGGGAAGTTTTAAAAGAGCATCTCACAGAATGCATGAACACACAGTGAGGAGGATGCTGAGTGAGGGCACAAAGATCGGGTTTGAGTCTCAGGGTTGTAAAAGAGCATCTCACAGAAAGCAGGGTCTGAACATCGAGTGTCATTAGAACTCCAGCTGGAATCATGTGTTGTGGTCAGATGAGATCATTGTCATTTTTGGTGGAAATGTTTGCTGGAAATGTCTACAAACAAACAAACACCTGCTACCCTGATACTGTAAAATATAGGCAAGTGGTGGATCGTTCATGTTTTGAAGCTGGTGATCCAGGAGCTTTTTGTTATGGAACACTGATGGCGTCATGAATTGTGCTCAGTACCAAGATATTTTAGCCCAAGACTTGGCTGCCTCTGCCAGAAGGTTAAGACCTGACAAATCCCAAACAATAATCTCAACCATACTTCCAAAGCAACACATTTGGACACACACATGTTTGTGGGAACATAAAATTAATGAAAAAAATCAAACATCAATGCACCAATGTTCAAAAAATGTTTTTTTTTTTTTTTTTTAAGTGGTTCTTTTTGACAGACAGAAGTTCAGTACCATTATTCTATCTAGCTGAGGCTTCAACAAATATTAATTGTAGGAGTGGGATTAATTTAAAAAAATGCACTGCTTAAGAAATATGTTTATTTGATAAAAACTATTATGTTAAAATACAATTATACAGCATGAAAAAAACAGCTTATTAAAAAAAAAATAATAATAAAAAAGCTTATTTATATGAGCACATACCAATAATTCTGGATGTTTTATTTTCTTTTGCCCAAAATTAACTAGAAAACCTAGCTAATTTTGAGCTACTGCACAAATTACCTTAGGAGTAATTATCAGACAGGTATTTAAAACAAACCTCATAAAATATGTTTTATAGACTATTAATGCTGTGAAAAAAAATTCTGTGACATAAATGATCATTTAGACATGTATCATTTCTGTTATTTTTTTTTCAGAAGCAATATTTTTCTACAACTTGGGGCTCAAATCGTTTGTTGGGGAAAAAAACGCAGTGGAAATGCACATTCACTTAAGTGACTGCTAGAAAAGGGGCATTAGAGAATGTGCAGGAGGGTTTGTTGCCAAGCCAACCATATTTCTACATGCGCTAACCCTACATAAGACTCAGGCTACATCTGAATCTGTGACCTACCATACTAACTAGTTCAACAAACATACTGTTACCAGAGGTGTGATAGGATGCTCTGTGAGTCACATATGCTTTTTTGCAGCCTGTTACAATGTTTAGGTTTATAAATATAGCACATTTTCTGCTATATCCATGTAGTGTTGTGCTAAACAGATGTAAATAATAAATATCTGTTTAATTTAATTTAATTTATGTATTTGTTTCCCCGGTGGGCTAGTGGCTCGCATGCGGTGCTCTCACCGCCGCGGCCCGGGTTTGATTCCCGGCCAGGGAACCGACCCCAGCCACTGGAGGGTTGCACGAGCCAGTGAACAGTCTCAGTTCCGGTACCAAGCCTGGAAAATGGGGACGGTTGCATCAGGAAGGGCATCTGGTGTAAAACTTGTGCCAGAATCAAAATATGTGGACGGGTGATCCGCTGTGGTGACCCTGAACAGGAGCAGCCGAAAGAGGGAAAAAAATTATGTATTTGTTGTTTGTTTATTGTTTTGTGATTCCACATTAAAAAGTGAACAGAATACAGGAATATTTAAAACTCAATACTAAATACTCTAAAGCTTTAGAGAAGTTCCCTTTTTCTGGGGTCTCAAGATACCAATTTTACGGCAAGGCTGACAGGTTTAACGAATAAATCATAGAAAATGTTGTCAAGCATCAGTGAGATTCGTGATATGTGTCAACTGAAGTGTCAGGATTTTTTTTTTTTTAATCTGTGTGGATGGATGTTCAGGAGCCAGTTTTCCACAGGATACTGTTTCAGTGGAGAATTACAGCTAACCACATGGGGAATATGTGGGAGAATATTTAGTGGAGAGGTGAACTGTGTCCACACGGCTGAATAAAAGTGAGTGGGTGACAGTCTGAAACGCTTCAGACTGTGTCTGACTGTACTGGAAAGTGAAAGCTGGGCAGCCTCCCTCAAATCCAGCTCTGACACGTTAAATGTATGCTTGGCTTACTGAGAAATTTGTCAGAAAAACTAAACAGAGCCGTGCTAATAGTTAAAGGCACTCTCTCTGTGGCTTCTAGAGTACAGAATATAATACATTTGAGAAGATAACAGGGAACCATGACACTTTTTTTCTTGTTTTTTTGTTTTAAATCAGTGATTAACTAAAGAACGTCTAGACATGCTGACACCAAAAGCTGTGATTATATCATTTAGGAATAACATGTTTAATTTGTTTTACATAAATTACTCCAGTATGTGTCTTTCAAAAATGGTTTCAATTGCTCTCATCTGTCCGTAGGATGTTGGTCCAGAACTGTACAGACTTTTATAGATTTTTTTTTTTTGGCAAACTCTAATCCGGTCTTCCTGTGTTCAGGAAGTAAACCCTCTTTATTTACTCTGGTGAAGTCTTCTCTTGGTTGTTGACTTGGACACAGATACGCCTACCTCCTGGAGGTTGTTCTTGATCTAGCAAACTGTTGTGAAGGGGTTTTTCTTCACCAGGGAAAGAATTCTTCTGTCATCCACCACAGTTGCTTTCCATGGTCTTCCAGGCCTTTTGATGTTCCTGAGCTCAGCATTGCATTCATTCTTTTTGATTTGGCCACAGCTAATTTTTGCTATCTCTCTGATGGTTTTTTTTTTTTTTGCTTTTTCAGCCTAATGATGTCTTGCTTCACAGACAGTTACAGCTTTTTGGACTTCATATTGAGAGTTAACAGCAACAGCTTCCAAATGCAAATGCCACACTTGAAATCCACTCTAGACCTTTTATCTGCTTCCTTGTAGGAGAAATAATGAGAGAATAACACACACCTGGCCATGGAACAGCTGAGCAGTAATGATGCTTCTAGCTTAACTACATATTTCAGTAGCGTGGCAGTAGCTGAGCTATATTCACAATAATGTAGCTTATAACGTAGCAAAATAGTGTTATGTAAAAAGCTACTTTTTCACATTTTGTTGCTTTGCACTGCAAATTTATCCCTTTTTTACATAACCACTTCAATGTTATTTTCTAATCAAACAAATTACAATATGCAAACTACTCTATCTATAAAGAACCAAGTTCAGTAATTAGTGTAAAATAGGGAATAACAACATTACACTACATGTACAGAGGATGCATTCTACTAGTGGTAAAAACAAGATCATCGAACATCCATGACTGTATTTATCAACGTTTATGAGTGTAATAGATTTCCGCAGTATAGGATACATGTTTGTTTGTAACCTATGCACACTGGCAAGGTAAGTAATGTCGACATCCAAAATTTTAAGCACCAATTTAAGGACACATAAAGTTGTGGAGCTCGTTATCTGTTTTTCTATTTGGTGTTGAATACCTAGCTGGTTAAGTTAAGAGGGTGATCGCGAGTGATAGTGTTAGGTCTTGAGTATTTTCTGTTGAATTAATGCGGTGAAGCAGAAAATGATCAAAATAGATAACTGTTTTTGTGATGACAAGTAGCTATTTAATTCCTTATTACATGGATTACCATATGTCCATTAACATTAGCTAGATATTTCCAGAAATGAAGTGAACCAAGAGTAGTGGAGTGCAATTGCAAAATAGCTTCTCCAGCACTGCATTTCACTGTCATTATTCAAAACAGTCCTTTAATCAGAGAATGATGCTCACTAATTTTGCTTTATCAGGAGTCTGATCACTTCTGTTCAGAAGTTAATAGGCATATTTCAGTCACTATAAATGAGTAAAATTCTACTCAGCAGAGGTATCAGTCGCCAGTCACAGTGGGCTTGTAGTCTCTAACAAAAGCTGTACTGCTACCATCTCACCACAGCTGCAGGCAAGAAACACTGAAGATGCAAGTTCCACTGGCTGTCTATTTCTATCAAAATCAATTACACTGCGCTCTCAAAAAGATGAGCGTCAAATGCCATTCTAATTTGTTACACCACAAAGGCGTGTCAAGCTGCCCTTCAGCATTTTCTTCATCACGACTGTAATGGTAGTAAATCTTAACAGCTGCTGCTAGTATTCTTACTTTCTGTTCTCTCATGCTTAGACTGACAGTTCTTGCTTTGTAGATCGATCTCCGTTGCAAAGTGTGAGTGGTATCATGGCTGACGTTAGGCTTGATTGTGGTCGGAGATAGTCTCTTAGGAAATGGCCAGCAAGGATTTAACAGAGCACCAAATCCCAAATGCTCTTTCGGAACTTTTATCACAGCCCAGGGGATTATAGTCTTTATCTGCTTATTGATCTTAATGATAAGTGCTGTGGTTCCTTGTGCCTACACTACATGCCTGACAGAGTCTCAGAGACAGTGTTTTATACCAAACGTGCAACAATCAGCAATATTTTTCCAGGTCCTGATTCCAAATCAATGTGCAATATAATGAATATAACTGTATACTGTATATACTGTATATAGCATAGGAACCAACCCTAGATAAGGTAAATATGGCTTCATCTTTGGCATACAGAGCTTTATATGAATGAGAGAGACACACTATCCATCACTCCATCACCCAACCTTTCCCTTGTAATCTGAGAATTGCATGCTGATATGCTGGTATGTTTATTAAGTGCCCCTCAGGTTTCAAAACAGATGGTGGCACTGACTCATTCTTGCACACAATGGTGTCATCAGAGGGAGCAAAAACACACAGTCGGGCCCCTCACCCTGAGCAAAGTGTGTCAGCCCTCCGAGCGCTTGTGTGGTCTGATTAAGGTGTTGTGTTTTCAAGACTACATTTGATTAGGTTACTTGGTGAGTGGCTTGAAGGTTAAAATGTTTGCACATACCATTTGGTTATGGCTTGGGCTAAATCACCACCTCACTGCTGACCTTTTTGTGCCACTGTTTAGTGGCTCAGAATTTAAAAAAAGGCTATGTGACATTTGGGCTGTTTTCCAAATTCTGGAAGCACTGGCATGACTTTCACCCTTGCTGTTTATCCTGACAGCCTTAAGATGGAGAGAGGAGAATTGGCATTCACGACAATCACAGGCCTCGCTGTTATAAATAATTGGTGAAAATTATATGCCTGTTGAATTAGGATGTAGAGAACTGCACAAACAGCAGCAATACAGAAAGATACTGAAAACAGGGCTAAATGGAGAGAAGGCGGACATCTGTACCCTAAAAGCATTTACAATATGTATGTTCAGGTTTGTGTGATATTATTAATGCACAATATCTGTGATCATGCCAGGATTAGACAGCTCGCCGGTTTCCTTGAACAGCACGTCGATCAATACTTTTGCATCTTCAAAGACAAACGGCAAATCAAAAAGACTCGTTGTGTGAAAGGTTTCCTACTTTAGATGTCACATCATGTCAGGAAGAATTCGCTTCAGACTGTAAACACACAAGACTGAAGAAATATATGTTGCTGACTCCAGCTTGTCAGCCCAATAAGGGGATTATGCAGGAGCCTTGGCTGATTTCATTTGACAGAGACCAGTAGGTTAATCCGTATGAATGATCAACATGGCAGGGGGTGGTGGGTTTTCCGATGAGAATGACTGCCTCTATCTTGCCAATCCATGCCACATATCAATTTGAGTACTGTGAAAGAAGATTTGGAAGTATAGTGCTAAACCAAAAAAAGCAGCCTTGTTGACGTGGTTGATAAGGGGGACTTTTTAGAAATTCTTTCAGGCTTCAAAAAGACAAATTGTGCTGAATACCAGTCAGATCCACTGTTTCTCCTTTTCGGCTTAACTAGCTGGGAAATACTGATATAATAGCACGAAGTCTGTTCTTTGTGGATTCCTGTGTACCTGTGTCTGGCTCAGCCGTTACCATAGAGACCCCTCCATCCCTAGCAGATGAAGCTGGGGCTGCCTGGCTGTCTCTCATAGAAGATACTCTGTTAAGCAACACTGTCATCCACATGGGCCAGGAGTGTATGTGTGTGCACGTGCAAAGGCTGTTGACGCCAGTGTTTGTGCTTTTGGTTTGTGCCAGTGTTCCCCTGGCAGTTGGTGCCATGTGTTGGGTGCTTTCATGGGGCAGATTTCACGGGGGCTGACGGCTGACGTCTGGACTGGGCGATGCCTAATTGAAACCAGTTTGCCTTGGAGGCAGCTGCTTACAGTGCCTTTGCTAATTGCCACCGGTAACAGCCATGATCTCAAAACTACAGGCTCCAAGTAGCTATAGGATCCCCATGCCTGTCTTTCTCTTTATCTCTCTTCCCATGCCTGTCTTTCTCTTTATCTCTCTCTCTCTCTCTCTCTCTCTATCTCTCTCTCTGTTTGGAGAGAGAGAGGTAGAAAGAGAAAAGAGCTATTAGGTGAGAGAAAACTGTGCAGCTCACTCTGGGAACCTGACCTTTCTTAATGCACG